CCTCCACCCGCACTCTGGCGCTGGTGCAAAAGGGTGCAAGGCCACCACACTCCTGACGTCATTATCGATCAAGATAAAACTGCATGGACAGCGAGGCAGGACTGAGGCTGGCGACAGAGAGAGGGAAACAGAGAGGGAGAAAGAAGAGGAAGAGGGAATGAAAGAGGAAAGATAGAGGGAAAGAGAGGAAGAGGAAAAAAAGGTGGGAAAGAAATAAGGAATGGGAATAGGAGTAAGAAAGAGTAAGATAAGCTCTACGAGGAAGAAGGATACACCTGGCAGAGCCGAGACAGGATGATGATGATGATGATGATGATGATGATGATGATGATGATGATGATGATGATGATGATGATGATGATGATGATGATGATGATGATGATGATGATGATGATGATGATGATGATGATGATGATGATGATGATGATGATGATGATGATGATGATGATGATGATGATGATGATGATGATGATGATGATGATGATGATGATGATGATGATGATGATGATGATGATGATGATGATGATGATGATGATGATGATGATGATGATGATGATGATGATGATGATGATGATGATGATGATGATGATGATGATGATGATGATGATGATGATGATGATGATGATGATGATGATGATGATGATGATGATGATGATGATGATGATGATGATGATGATGATGATGATGATGATGATGATGATGATGATGATGATGATGATGATGATGATGATGATGATGATGATGATGATGATGATGATGATGATGATGATGATGATGATGATGATGATGATGATGATGATGATGATGATGATGATGATGATGATGATGATGATGATGATGATGATGATGATGATGATGATGATGATGATGATGATGATGATGATGATGATGATGATGATGATGATGATGATGATGATGATGATGATGATGATGATGATGATGATGATGATGATGATGATGATGATGATGATGATGATGATGATGATGATGATGATGATGATGATGATGATGATGATGATGATGATGATGATGATGATGATGATGATGATGATGATGATGATGATGATGATGATGATGATGATGATGATGATGATGATGATGATGATGATGATGATGATGATGATGATGATGATGATGATGATGATGATGATGATGATGATGATGATGATGATGATGATGATGATGATGATGATGATGATGATGATGATGATGATGATGATGATGATGATGATGATGATGATGATGATGATGATGATGATGATGATGATGATGATGATGATGATGATGATGATGATGATGATGATGATGATGATGATGATGATGATGATGATGATGATGATGATGATGATGATGATGATGATGATGATGATGATGATGATGATGATGATGATGATGATGATGATGATGATGATGATGATGATGATGATGATGATGATGATGATGATGATGATGATGATGATGATGATGATGATGATGATGATGATGATGATGATGATGATGATGATGATGATGATGATGATGATGATGATGATGATGATGATGATGATGATGATGATGATGATGATGATGATGATGATGATGATGATGATGATGATGATGATGATGATGATGATGATGATGATGATGATGATGATGATGATGATGATGATGATGATGATGATGATGATGATGATGATGATGATGATGATGATGATGATGATGATGATGATGATGATGATGATGATGATGATGATGATGATGATGATGATGATGATGATGATGATGATGATGATGATGATGATGATGATGATGATGATGATGATGATGATGATGATGATGATGATGATGATGATGATGATGATGATGATGATGATGATGATGATGATGATGATGATGATGATGATGATGATGATGATGATGATGATGATGATGATGATGATGATGATGATGATGATGATGATGATGATGATGATGATGATGATGATGATGATGATGATGATGATGATGATGATGATGATGATGATGATGATGATGATGATGATGATGATGATGATGATGATGATGATGATGATGATGATGATGATGATGATGATGATGATGATGATGATGATGATGATGATGATGATGATGATGATGATGATGATGATGATGATGATGATGATGATGATGATGATGATGATGATGATGATGATGATGATGATGATGATGATGATGATGATGATGATGATGATGATGATGATGATGATGATGATGATGATGATGATGATGATGATGATGATGATGATGATGATGATGATGATGATGATGATGATGATGATGATGATGATGATGATGATGATGATGATGATGATGATGATGATGATGATGATGATGATGATGATGATGATGATGATGATGATGATGATGATGATGATGATGATGATGATGATGATGATGATGATGATGATGATGATGATGATGATGATGATGATGATGATGATGATGATGATGATGATGATGATGATGATGATGATGATGATGATGATGATGATGATGATGATGATGATGATGATGATGATGATGATGACAAGGTGGGAAAGAAATAAGGAATGGGAATAGGAGTAAGAAAGAGTAAGATAAGCTCTACGAGGAAGAAGGATACACCTGGCAGAGCCGAGACAGGATGAAGTGCCGTACGTTTTGCAGTGTTCTGGGTGTCACGGAGAGCTTAGTGCTGTCAAATCTGCCTTGTTAAAGACACCACTCGATGATCAGCGGCCCCTCTCTTGTGTCAACAGTGTCATTTGTGGCTTCATAAATGTCATCTGTCGCGTCATGATACCCGGAGCAGGGCCATGCGTCACGCGTGTCACCCAGAGAACCATGGCACTCAAGGAGTGTCATAGCTGTTTAAAGTTACGTCAAGGTGATCAAGTCGAGCGTGTCATGTTCCACGTGCTAAATGGGCACAAAAAGCACTACAGCACTAAAAGGACCTCTTGCGCACACTCACACACACACACACACACACACACACACACACACACACACACACACACACACACACACACACACACACACACACACACACACACACACACACACACAGTTCAATAAACACGTACTTACATACTAGAATACATGCATAATAACGACCGACAGGCGCACATTACAAACGCACAAACCGAACTATGAATACACGCAGAGGCACATATTCAAATTCTACCCTGCCGCACAAACACACCAGCGCTCGAGCACCCTTTCGCCTAAGCATGACAACGCAAAATAACTCAACATGTAGCAGACAAGACACCGTCGCACAGCGTGGCAAGAACACATTTGTCGCAGCCTCATACACTCTCCATGTTGCACGACCACCGAACGAGCAACACGTGAGCTACAAGAAGCACAATGCACTGTACACCCCCGCCGTGTACACTCGTGACTGTGCGTAATGACCATCAACAGTCGCGTGTATGTATGGTGGCCTCGTACAGTGCAGTGAGAGGAGCGCCGCCTCCCAACCTCTACCTTCTAATCAATAAACTTATCACTCTCGCCACATCTACCACAGCACCACATCACTCTGCAGTCGCGCCACGCCTCTCCTACACCGACCCCGCCACGCCTACAGCACCGCCAGCGCCGCACGCCCTGCCTCACCCTTGCTTCCAGACCCTGGCAAGGACGCCCTCACCCTTGCGTCCACCTCGCCCCACCTTCGGCCCGCGCCATTCATCTCCTTCCGCCTCCCTTATCCCCGGCCGTCTATCCCTTCCAGCCACGGTCAAGCCGCCCTGCCACCGTTAATCCTCTTATCTATCGATCTATCTCGCCATCCACTGTCTTCCATCCACGCATTATCTGAACCTCTCATCTTTTCGATTCGTCATCTATCCCTCACGAGACGTCCTGCCCTCCTTCCAACCCTTCTTTCTCCTCTCCGGCCTCGCCTCCCCCCTTCCCTCACCCCCCCCCCCTCTCTCCTTCAAGGCGCAATCTCTCCCAGTCCTCTCACCCCTCCCTCTCCCTCTCCCCATTCCCATATCCCTGACACTGACCCTGTCCCTCCCTCTACACCTATCCCTCTCCCCCATGCCACTGACCCTGTCCCTCCCTCTGCCCCTGTTCATCCCCTTCCCCCTGCCACTGCCCCTATCCTCCCCCTACCCCTACACTTGCCCCTGCCCATATCCCTGTTCATGACCCTCCCTCCCGTTGTCCTTGCCCTGTCCGTGACCTGCCCTTCCCCCTGACCTTGCCTTGCCCTTCTCCTCTCTTCCCTTTCCCTCTCCTACCTTACCCTACCCTTCCCTTCCCTTCCCTTCCCTTCCCTTCCCTTCCCTTCCCTTTCCCTCTCTCCCCTCCCCTCTCTTCCACTCTCCTCCCCACCCCCTATCCCTCTCCCTTACCCCTGCCCCTCTTCCCTACCTATCGCCAGGTCCACGTCACCCTATCTCTCACCCCCCTCCCTCTCCCTCCTTCCAAGCAGCCATTAGAGCTAATCTGCCTTTAATCTGGCAGGCGAGCGACTCCCTCTTCCGTGTTCGCCAACGATGCTGGCTGTCTCTCGGGGGCGGAAGACTACGAGGAGCAATAAGAATTATCGCCATTAGTATCACAATTATACTAATAATTATACTAATATCAACAGCAGAAGTCGAAGTAGTAGAAATAGCAGAAGCAATCGTAATAGTAATAATTATCAATGTTATTTTTGTTCTTGTTATCATCCTAATGGGATCAATATTATTACAATTATCAGCATTATCATGACAACACTCACAACAACACACCATAGTCACAATGATTATGATGGTATCTTATTACGATTTACAATGACAATCATGTCACCAATCGCAACAACCATGATAAAAATAATGCTGCTAATGATACTGATGACGATACTGACAACAACAATAACAGCAACACCATAATCATTAACATTTCCACTGGCATCATCACTATACCCATCGTTGTCGTGATAACCCACATCACAAACACCCTTTTACACAATTAAAGACAACAAATGCCAGACTTACCCGTTCAGCGCAGGCGAATCAGCTGTGCAATTCCCTTCCGGGTCACGCAAAATCCTTCTCTTGGATCTTGTTTATATACGGTTTGCAGTCGGGAGAAAATAAGTTCACAGTCCTTTCTTATTTCTTCGTAGGGTTATTTTTCTTTTTGTTTTGGTTTTTTGTTTTCTTGCTCTTGTCTTTTGTTGTTTTTGTTTTCGTTTTTCAGAACACTGTATACTTGTATAAGTTTTGTTTAAGTCCACTTTGGTACAGATTCACTTACTTAATCCTATAAAATGCTATCATACACGGAGCTAACAAAGTAATACTGATTTACAAATATCTTAATGGTAAGTTACTCGTTTTGTTTCGTCGAAGTCCTTAAATCCTTAAAAAGTATTTTAAATATCATCTGCAAAATAAGAGAAAATTTCCGCTGATTAGCACATTCCTCCGCTTTCCGTAATATCCCGTAAGTGCATAGCGAAGACGCTTTTTTTCCACTAGAGAAAAAATAGTTTTGTTATTATCAAACGGCTCAAGATTACTTCCATCATCACCAGCACGATCTCGCCGCTGGTTTTGTCATCAATTCAGTCACGACAAGGCCAACCCCCCCCCCCCCTTTCCGACTGTCACGTTAGTGTTAATAAGCACCTTCTGTAGATCCGTGGCTATCAAATATCCACTGACACGTTTACTGTATATCTATTATAGACATCACACACAGAGGGAGGGAGGGAGGGAGGGAGGGAGGGAGGGGGGAGAGAGAGAGAGAGAGAGAGAGAGAGAGAGAGAGAGAGAGAGAGAGAGAGAGAGAGAGAGAGAGAGAGAGAGAGAGAGAGAGAGAGAGAGAGAGAGAGAGAGAGAGAGAGAGAGAGAGAGAGAGAGAGAGAGAGAGAGAGAGAAAGGGAGAGAGGAAAGAAAGGAAGGAGGGAAATAAAAACGAAAACGAAAAAGAAGAAAAAGAAAGACGCGATAGATAAGTAAAAGCAGGAGAAGCAGCAAAACAATTATGGAAATGCATATTCAAAGCATTGCCTCCGCTCGCCTGCTTGCCCTCGCCTCCTTGCATTCCATCGTATCTACTCGTCTGCATTCAGAGAAGAGAGCAGCACAGACGACATCTCGGGAAAATGCATAATATGAAGCCGCCCCAATATATCTCCAGCCAACACTGCTTAGACAGCGATGAGCTCTCCCGCAAGCAATAAAAGGTCTTCCAGCAAGGAACATGGGAGGGAGGGAAGGAGATGGAAAGAGGAAGGGAGGGAAGGAGATGGAAAGAGGAAGGGAGGGATGGATATAGGGAGGGAGGAAGTTGAAAGAGGGTGAGAGGGAGGGAGATCGAAAAGGGAGGGAGGGAGTGAGATGAAAGAGGGAGAGAGGTGGAAAAAGAGAGTGAGGGAGGGAGGGAGGGAGGAAGAGAGGAAGGAAGGAAGGAAGGAAGGAAGGAAGGAAGGAAGGCTGGAAGACGGAAAAGAAGGGGAGGGAACGAGAGGGATGAGAAAAGCAAGCAAAGTTACAATAAGACGAGACACCGACAGCCCGACAGAAAAGCCAACACACATGGGCAGAGAAGCAAAAAAAATACCACTCAATCTCTCGACACCTCCCACGCAGTCAACTCCAACTCCAACTCCTCCAACTCCTCCTCCTTTTCCTTCTCTTCCACCTCCTCTCTATCCACCCCCACCCCCTCCAGAGCAGCCAGGCGTTCCCCTTACGAGCTATTGGCGCCGGGCAGTCTAGAGGGGTCCCCGTTTTCCCCTCAGCCCTCCCTTGGCCCTCCCTCGGCCCTCCCTCAGCCCTCCCTCGCCCCCCCCCCCTCGGTCCTCCTTCAGCCCTTCCTTGGCCCTCAGCAGCACAGGCGACATCGACCCGAGACAAACTTCCCCTCCGTCACAGCCCATCGGAGGATGGAGGAACGCACATGGCGATCATGGGGATGGTGGTGAGGGTGGTAATGAGGGAGGTGGTGGTGGTGGTGGTGACGATGATGGCGATGACGATGACGATGATGGCAATGACGATGATGGTAATGACGATGATGGTGATGATGATGATGGTGATGAAGACGATGATGATGATGATGATGATGATGATGATGATGATGATGATGATGATGAACTTAATAACGATAAATAATGCAGACAACCGTGCCACTGCAAGCCCCCAAGGTCAGACATCCAATATTGCAAGTTCTTGGCATTGCATGATTGGCTTATGAGCCACATTGATGTTAACATTTCATTGCCGCGAAAGCCTACAACAGCTTTACTTCGTTGCAGATAGACCAGTCAAAAATAATGAAAAGCCGCATCATGAAATATGCAATGCTCTGCAATGTCAGGACGACCAACAACCTACTGCAACATTAAATGTGTACCTATGTACCTACACATAATAGTAACCAACAACCCACTACAGCCTCAAACATGCCTTTAAATGCGAGTAAGAACTTGTAAGGAGGGATTTTTAAAATGAGGCCGGGTGATGCTGACGTAACACACCCTGACGTCATAACAACATGACGTAACACATGACCTGCCCTTCATTCATGGCGGAAAAAAGTTGGCGTCAACTTCTACGTCATCTCCAGCACCAGGTTGGTTTCTCGTCGCGTAAAAGGATTATAAAATAACTTTTCCTTAGCCCCTCCGACCTATATTGAAATCTGACGACTATAATCCCTATTCATGTATATATTAAAGATAAGAGTAGTTCTTATCCACAAATTGTTGGTATATAACACCTTCCAAAAAAATACGAGTACCTGCAACGCATCGTTATTTGAGTTCTGTTCCCATATACTACCTGTAATAAAAAAAGTCAAACCTGTTTCAAAAAAATACAACCGGCTTATAAGATCTTCAGCCTCATCACAGCGCCCACCACCGTCATCACATGCCGCGTAGTTCTCGCTCCCAACAATGCCAACCCCGCGCCCTCCATCGCCACACTTACTCGACCTGATCATCAGACCTAACCACCACTTCAAGCTACGTCTCCTGTGACCTCACCGACGCTGAGACACCAAAGGAGGTCCAACAAAGTCTCCAATTATCCCTTCTTGACCTCGGGGCGCACGTGTTGAGGCCGCACTGCCAACACTGCCAGCATCACTGCCACCACTCTCAGCGACCGCCCTCTCACGGCCCACTCCTGTGTGGTCATCGCTATGTCGCTTTAGTATTTAGTCATGCTGTGCTCCTTCCTTCCTACTTCATCAAGTCATTATATACACATATTCGTACAGTTTCCCATACATACACGGAGAAAAAATGAAGAGAACAGTGATTATTTGTCTACTGTTTTCCTACTTCCCGCGATTTAATTTACTTTTTCCTCAGACCACACCCCAAACCTATCACCACCCATCGCCAAAGAAGAAGAGAAAGGGCAGGAAGGAGAAACAGAGAATAAAAGCATCTGGGAACGAATGATTAAAGAAAATCAAAGACGACACGTCCCGCCCCCCCGTCCAGACCAAACAAGTAAATAAATGAATATATAAAATGAAAAATCCGACCAAGATTCCAGTCCGTTTCCCTTGTGAAAGGAAGGGCTGACCGGCCGGCTACCTCGGCTGTAATGGCCCAAGTTCAGCCGGGAGAAGGGAGCCGCGCCGCCATTACACAAAAAGGGATCTCAACCACCACCACAACACGGCAATAATAACAACAACCACGCTGCTGCTCCGAGCCATCGCCGGAAGAACCCAGAGGCGCTCCGGGGGTTCGACTTCTTAGCAAGGAGTGTGGGTCTGTTGGCCATCGCCCTCCATCTTTCTGGCTGCCTTTCGTCCTCCCATTTATTTCTCTCTCACTCTCTCTCTCTTCTTCTCTTTCCACTTTTTTTCTCTGTCACTCACCCTTATCACCTTATCTCTCTAACACACTCTTATCACTTTATCATCCTCTTACGCTTTTATCTCAGTCTCTGCCCCTTTCTCTCTCTCCCCTTCCCTCCACCGCCCTCGCTTAAAGTAGCGCTGCCCTTCCCAAGACACCACCCTTATGGTGACTCAATATCTCAACTGAGGGTTTGGATGGTGTCTGTTCACTATCGCGATCATTGCCACCATCCTGTGATTACTTTTTAAACCATCAATGCCCAAACTTAAACCTGCACTCACGGTGCCTCTATATCACATTCACTCACTCATCATCAATGCCTCACATTAATAACATTCGCATGAGGAAGTTCGTCGGCCGTTCTTCATTACCCTTTAAGTAGATTTTCTGTTCAGGTATATCATATCATATCATGTTATGCCATGTCATGTCATGTCATCACATGCCTGTCTGCCTGTGTCTGTGTCTGTCCGTTTGCCTGTCTGTCTGTCTTGACTTCCACCCCATCTTCCTCTCCCTCTTCTTCTATCATCTCCATCTCAATCTCAATCTTAATTTCATTCTCCCTCTCCCTCTCCCTCTCCCTCTCCCTCTCCCTCTCCTCCCTCTCCCTCCCTCCTCCTCTCCCTCCCTCTCCCTCTCCCTCCTCCTCTCCGTTTCCGTCTCCCCCTCCCTCTCCGTCTCCCTTCCTCCCTCGCCTCTCACACTCCACCGAACTGCTCTTCGCCGCTCACCTTAAAGCATATTTCCTCTCCCTCATTACCAGTCACGACAAAGTTCACGGGCTGAGCTCAGGTCGAGAGGCGCGTAACCCTGTCCCGGGAAAGGTCATCGCAGGCAACCTCTCACCTTATCAACATGCCCTTTGTGATGCCATCTTCTTTCCTCTCCTTCTTCTCCTCTTTCTCTTTCTCTCTCTCCTATCCCTTCTCCTTCTCCTTCTCCTTCTCCTTCTCTTTCCCCTCCTCCTTCTACTTCTACTTCTGCTTCTGCTCCCCCTGCTGCTGCTCAGCATCATCGTCATCCCCTTTATTAATTTCTTCATAAATCAATAAACCAAGCAGTAATAAAAAGAAATATAAATAAACCCAAGCAATAGATATAAATCCCAAAGGCGCACGGCACAAAAACGAAATTCAGAAGCTCTTTCCCCTTTCCGCTCTCGCCTTCGACCGGCGTCTCCTCCGGGTTCCGAGGCGGACATCTCCCGCGGCAGCTTCCTCCCTTCTATCGCCACCTATCCGTCACTTGAACGTATCCTATCCACGTCCTCCCTCCTCCTCCCACCTCCCTCCCCCGTCCTCTTGCCTCTCCTTCTCCTCCTCCTTCTTACTCCTCCCTCCTGCTCCCACCTCCCTCCCCCGTCCTCTAGACTCTCCTTCTCCTTCTCCTTCTCCTCCTCCTTTTTACTCCTCTCTCCTCCCACCTCCCTCCCCCGTCCTCTAGCCTCTCCTTCTCCCCCTCCTTCTCATCCTCTTTCTCTCCCTCATCCTCCCTCCCCCCTCCTCTCCGTCTTTCACCAGCCTGGCGCCAGCACTGCCCTTCCTCAAGCACA